GGGGGGGGGGGGGGGGGGGGGGGGGGGGGGGGGGGGGGGGGGGGGGGGGGGGGGGGGGGGGGGGGTAACAGGCACGGCTTTTGTTGCCTTTTGAGACGGTCGGTCCTGAATAAGGAGGGGTGACTTGGTGTTGGGTCGTCAATCTCCTTGTTTCATGACTTCGGCCGCTTACAGTTGCAGTCACCGCCTTGTATTTGGGGGCATCTCCTCTGAGCTATGTAGGCGGTACAACCGCACATTTCAGGGTGTTTGACGTGTGCCTTAGGAAGGCCGTCGATGGCCGCCTCATTGTTTAAGGGCCACAAACATATGCAGGTAGACCTCCACATCGGTTCAGCTAGTATCAGCATCCAGCAGCACTAGGCACGTAGACTCGGGTAGGCGAGGAGCCGCGCTTGGCCGGCTCTGCAATCGCGCACGGGCTGCGTTGCCGCGCACCCGAAATACCTCAAGGTTGCTTGGAACCGTGAAGCCGTATGATATGTACGTTGGTTCCTGTGTTTTTCCCATTGACAAAAGGAGGTGCGCGTGATTGTCGTCGTCATTGTGGTTGCTGTTGTTTCTCGCAAGTGGGATGTGCTCTCTTCGTCCTACTCTTTCACGGTTAGACTCGCAAGAAACGAGTTCCCGTCGCCACAGTACTGTAGGCAACCCAAACTATTCTGCGATGACAGTAATAAGCCCGCTCCCCCCCCCCCCCCCCCNGTCACCCTCCTCGCGCGATTCCGAATGGCGGTGGTTTCGACGTCCCTCCCTGCCGTCACTTACGCGGTTGTGCTGATGCCGGGATGTTTCTGCGCGCGGAAGCAGACATCACTCCAAGAGCTTCACCTTGCCATATTCCAGGGCGACACGGCAAAGGTATTCCGCCCCCCGTCCGTGCACGTCATGACTCGGCCTGAGGAATTGATTGGTGTGCAGCATTGGCCGCAGCGGCGCTAGTGCCCAGCGCTTGAAGTAGAGAGTGGTGTGTGTTGTTCCCCCTAGCTTTGTCGCGCCTCGTGCCTGAAAATGCCCCTCTTGTATCCCACCACTATAGTCCGTTCGTGGGTGGAACTGCACGTTTCGGTGTTGTCTTTTCCTTCCTTTGCTCCTCCCACCTCTGTTGCCGTGGTGTCACGGTACTCTGCTCTGTGGGGTAGATCCGGGTGCGTGATTTGTCCTGCAGCATTGAGACGAGATGCAAGATATTTATTGCCCCCCCCCCGGTGTGTACCATCGGGGTTGGGTTTTCGTCGCTTGGCAACGACGTTGTAAAACAAGCCGCCCCCCCGGTGTTTGCCACCGGGGTTGGGTTTTCGTCGCTTGGCAACGACGTTGTAAAACAAGCCGCCCCCCCCGGTGTTTGCCATCGGGGTTGGGTTTTCGTCGCTTGGCAACGACGTTGTAAAACAAGCCAATTCACTTCGTGAACTCGGCAACCAGGTTACCGTTTTTTTTTTTTACCTCCGTTTTTTTTTTTGGCGGTAACCATAATGGTGGTCGAGTAGATCATGTTGTGCGGGGTGGAGAACCCTCACTCCGCGCAAGGGGGATGATCGCACCACGTTGTGTTAAAATGGTCAAGCACCCTCGAGGCAGTTACACAGTGCTTACAACTGTCTCTGGAAGTGAAAGCACCAGAAAATAAATTAAGTCATACGCAGCTGTCATCCGTACGCAAGGAAGTAAGCACAAGATGCCGAAAACCCTTAGCAGGATGCAGCGCACCCTTCATGCGACTCGCCGAATATCTCACGGCGCTTCGCGCTTGGTGATGTGAGAGCCTGGTCCGGTGAGAACCCGGCGTGCTCCGTCCCGGCTTTGTAGGGATGCGAGGTCAATGGTCTAACGACTACGGCATGCACGACTATGAGTACACCCCCGCCCTACCCCTCGCCGCTAGACATGAGTGGGTTGGCGTTGTTGGCAGAGCGCTGTAAAACACGCCACCCCAAATATAGCCCCCATAGTATGCGGTACCAAAGACTCGTGACGCATGGACGGGTGGAGTGAGAGAAACCTCACAGGTTGAGTAATATATGAGATTACCGGACACATAGACGTGTTGAGTGATTATAGCTGTATACTGAAACCTCTAGGGTTGAGTGAGGTTTGAGATTGCCAGCCACATGGACGGGTTGAGTGCGGATAGCTACATACTGAAACGTCACGAGTTGAGTGATGTTGGATAGTACCGGACACATTGACGCTTTGAGTGAGGATAGACACATACTGAAACCTCACAGGTGATTTGCGTTGGAGATTGCCGGACACATACGTGTTGAGCGAGGATAGCTTCATACTGAACCATGGATTGGTTTTGAGTTTGCCAGACACATAGACACGCTTAGTGGGGATAGACACAAAATCAAACCTCACGAGTTGAGGAATATTGGATAGTGTCAGACACATGCGACTCATTGAGTGCGGATAGCTGCATACTGAAACCTCACAGGTAATTTGCATTGGAGATTGCCGGACACATGGACGTGTTGAGTGAGGATAGCTTCATACTGAAACCTCACAAATGGATTGGTTTTTGAGTTTGCCAGACACATGGACGCTTTGAGTGGGGATAGCTACATACTGAAGCCTCACGGGTTGAGTGATATGCCAGACACATGAGACACATGGAGTGCGGATAGCTGCATACTGAAACTTCACAGGTTGAGTGATGTTGGATAGTGCTGGGCACATAGACGTGTTGAGTGAGGATAGCTGCATACTGAAACCTCGCAGATGGATTGGTTTTTGAGTTTGCGACACATAGACGCGCTGAGTGGGGATAGCTACATCCTGACACCTCACGAGTTGAGTGATGTTGGAGAGTGCCAGACACAGACGCTTTGAGTGCGGATAGCTGCATGTTGAGACCTAGCGGGTTGAGTGACGTTTGCGACGGCCGGACACATGGACGCATTGAGTGAAGAAAGTTGCATACTGAAACCTCACAGGTTGATTTGTATTGGAGGTTGCCGGACACATAGACGCGTTGAGTGAGGGTAGCTGTATTCTGCAAATCCACAGTAGCTATAGTGAGGGACAATTCGAGAATGCAGTACACATAGACCCGACCCCCAACCAGTACCCGAACCCTCCCTGAAAAATAGAGGCCATGCGCCCCCCCCCCCCTATACCTCCCCCAGAGGATGAGGAGGGTACAATCCAAAGTAAGCGCAAGCTTACCTAAGGTTAGTGCCTATTGGTACGGCATTATGAATATACTAAAGTCCCCCATTGGGCGGTGGAGGACTTAGAGCTAAGACACNGTTGAGTGAGGGTAGCTGTATTCTGCAAATCCACAGTAGCTATAGTGAGGGACAATTCGAGAATGCAGTACACATAGACCCGACCCCCAACCAGTACCCGAACCCTCCCTGAAAAATAGAGGCCATGCGCCCCCCCCCNATGCCTATTGGTACGGCATTAAAATAAATACTAAAGTCCCCCATTGGGCGGTGGAGGACTTAGAGCTAAGACACCCCAAAACTCTCGGCGTGAGATCCAAAATCGGTCGGACGGTGGAGGGCGGGGGGGGGGGGTTCGTTGTTTGAAGTGGATCAATAAAACTAGCCATCAAAGCAAAGCTTATTACTCGCGTCGAGCAAGCTGAGCGACCAGACCAACCACGCAAAAACTGCGGAGCTAGATGTGCGGCATACACAATGCATTGTTTTCGATTGGAGAGCGGCGAGTACAAAGCAGTAAGGAATTGTTGGCCAAACTTTCGGCAGATAGGTCTACTCGGGAGCGTAAGTGGGGTAGCAACCCATGGTGGAGCGTACATGAGAAGCTGGACGTTGGTGTACGCCCCATCCCGGCGTGTGAGTAGGATCTTAGGCTATGCAAGTCGTCCCTGAACTTATTGTGGTGAAAATGACCTCCCAGGAGGAAAGTAGCCTGTACCGCGGGACTTCGGAGATGATAAATTGGGTGGTCGGGGGACGTCTGGGTGTTAACTAAGCAGAGCGCCCGGCACAAGACTGGGACACTTGTGTCAGGAGGTGTGAACTTGGGTCTAGACTACGAGCCCATGTTGGAGGCGCTATTTAGCGTCGGTGAGCCGGCAAAAGAACTGAAAGGAACCACAACCCCCGCCGGACACTCGGATTGGGAAGGCCGAGTATTCCG